GTGAGACTTCCATCTGCACTCAAGATGAGTGGCTATTTTTTGCTCCGTTTTGTGCTGAATTTAGTTCCTTGCACTTCCTCATTTCTCGTATTCAAAGCCACTGTCCAAACAGGGAGTGAAGAGTTGGTTCCGAGCTTGTTTTTTAGATACAAATGTAAGGGATCCTTCATACCCCCACTCTCCTTCCCTCCCTCCCAGGAAGAGCGCAGCACTGAACTTACTGGTACTCCACTTCCAGAGTAGGTAACACAAGTATCAGGGATACAGTGAGAACATCTTACACTAGATTTTGCTTTCGCAGAGAACCTCCCTGTTTGGGAGGGAGAAGGAAGACCTGCCGCAAACTGAGCATCGAGCACCATAGCTACACTGCTCAGTTAATCCCTGACAAATCGACGAAAGTGAGATATGTGGAAGTTACAAGTCGGATACCCGACTGCCATTTTGTCGTTGCCGTAGAGCTGTGCCTTCATGCCAGCTGTACCTGTTACAGCTTTGTCAAGCGGCTGCATCACCTGCCTCGGTGCTACACAGCCTTCGTTTTTAGCAGCTGCAGAATGATGGCTGGGGCTCATGCATAACTGAAAGGCTCTACCACTCCCCAGCATATAGAACAGGCATCTTTTATTACTGAGAAAAGGAAACAGAGTTTACCATTTATTTTTTAATATAATTACAGAAGGAACCCCAGGAAAAAATGTGAGAGATATATATATAGATATATATATATATACAAAATACTTGCAATAAACTCAGCCGCTTACCTGGTACAAAGACCCGGGTATTAAGCTGAAAAGGTCTCACAGAAACCATTTGTGTGCAATTCACTGAATAACAGCAGAAGGCAATAGAAAACATGATTCATAGTATAAGTGCTTAAGTAAAAAATAAACTGAACGATCTGCCCATCAAGAATATAAAAAACGAACTGATGCTAGACATATTTGTTAGTGAAAATTTTTGTTTCCTTTAGAAGGAGTTACGGGAAGTGTCACAGGAGTGAGTCTGTGGTGACGTAGGGAGGTTTGGCACAGTGCAAAAGACAAACCCTTCTCCAGGACGCTGTGCAATCATCAGTCGGGAGCAGAAGTAGAGCATGGGATGGAGGGAAAACGTGCTGGCGCAACTGTCAGAGCTGTGCTGTGGTTGGTAAGGTGGAAACGCATCGTGGTTATAGCAGGCAAGGAAGCACCATGTTGAAAATGAGCAAAGTAAGTACAAAAAAGAGGGTGTTCAGCCTGTGAGAAGCTGGTAGTTTGTGCTGGAAAGAACAAGCGTAGACTGAAAGAAAAGGAAGCATGAAAAACCTGAGACGCCATTGCCTGTACACCGAGTCCTGCAATAAGGTCAGGCTGCTGTTTGGTAAAACTTTCTGTGTCATCTATGTTGTGCTTGCAACCAGAATGCACAAGTGCAAAGAGTGTTGTTTCCTTATCACCCACCTTACCTCCCTTTCTCTGTCAAAAAACCCTCCGCAAGAATGTTCTGAAGTTCCCATTTCACTTCATGCAATGGGAAAGCAGTAAAAAAGCTGATGGGGCAGCGTGAGTCTGCAGGAGTAGAAAGGGAGCAGTGTCTTATTTTTCACTAGTGCCTTGATCCCTGAGCCTCTTGTAGCTCAATCCTCTACAAACCGTTTCTAGCTTCCTCCAGCAATTTCTCCCTCGGTATGTACCTGCTAGAAAAGAGTGAAACGGATGGAGTATTTCTTTGCTGTATCCTAGCAAGATAAGCAGCTTAAGCAATGAAACATCCCAGAAAGACGACAGCATGGTGCTTTCAGACTTTTGTGTGCCCTGCTAACTACACACGCAGACAGAGCAGCGAGGGAATGGGTGCAGCCTGCAATGGGACAGAGCAAAAGAGAACAACAGACCTGTCAAACTCAGGGCAGCGTTCAGTTAGGTTCATATGCAGAGCTGCTTAGGAAGCTTGTTGGGGCTTGGGGCTTCTTCCTCTTTTCCCCTCAAAATGAGAAACCACTTTTTCCTACACGGTAGGCAAGAATATCACCCAGATCAGATGAGTCCTATCCAGTGTTAGCATCCTGTCCTTCAAGTCCTGGCTGGGTAGGGAGAACGCTGGCAGAACGCAGCAGTCTTCAACGCAAAGTAAATCCCTATGTCGCTGTGAGAGACTCCCAAGAATCTGGAGAGCCCACCCTAACAAGTATTCCTAGGCAAATGTACGAACAGAAGCAGACCTGTATTTATGAAGCGAGGCCCTGAGTTACGTTTCATTACAGTAGATACATGTGAGTTAACCATGGAGTATTAGAGAAGTTTCAATGGGGCTTTACAAGGGTGGGTAGGAAGGAACAAGTATAAAAGCTTGTACATCTGTATGTGCCAAGGTGTGCACACGGGTGCACCATACGCACCACCACGGGCGGGCTGCGCCCTGTCAGATCTGCTCCTGTGTCTCTGAGTGGTTTAATGGCGGAGCTGCGCCTTGGCGCCCGGGTTGGCGAGGCCGTCCTTTCAGGAGAGAAAGGTTACGAGAACTGCCACTGCTGTGGGTGAGCAATATGAGTTAGCTGTTAGGTGTGCCGTCAGTATGTACCGTTCCCTAAAGAGTTCCATAGCACTGAAAATAAGCGTGAGGCATATAGTCCCGCCTCAAGGTGCTTCTCCATGAAAAGTGTGTGCATTATTGCTCTTTAGGGGAGAAGGGAGATGTATCTGTAATGGTCAAGTCCAAATCCAAAGTCCTCCAGCACAAAGAACAGTACTGGCAGATACCCATGCAAGGCTGAATACAAAACAAGTTTTAGCTGCTCCCAGTCACAACGTGGAGGCACAGCCCGACTTCAGGTTGTGTATGTCGGGGTCTGGGGTCTCCCAAAGGCCAGCTCTGCCTTGCTAAAAGGGTAGGTGGGCCTGGGCCACCTGCTAGGGCTCTGCAGGCCCCCTGATTTTCATAAAGGCAGCAGAAGAGCCAGAGGATCCCAAACTCTTGAACTGGTACGCTGGAGCAGTGCGGTGCTGATGACTTTCTTCTGCCCCACTGCAGGAACACGGAGGGTCCTCGCAGCTGGAATTCCAGCGACCCAGTTGTAACGATACCCCCGCACAGCTTCTGTGGCGTAGGCGGGGTTTTGTATTCAGTCACACGAGACTGTGTTGTCAGTCTTCTTGAGCAGAGTTTTCTACTGCTGTCATCCCCTTGCAGAGAGCCAAGGGGTCAACGCAATAAGCATTGCTGTACAACGAACAGTGGGGACTGCGGTGCGGAATACACAGGATAAGAAACCTGAGGGACACAAAGAAAAGATTTTACTCATTTTACCCCCCTTCTTCTTAATCCTAAACCTAAGCCAGAACGTTGCAGAGCTGAGACAAACGGGGACCACCTGCAATGGCCCTCCACAAGATGGCTCCTGTCACAGTAAAGCCAGAGCTGGGCAGGGCTGGGAAGCTCAAGCCAGGCGCTGCGGTGAGCTACAGGCTGGCCCGACGCTGACTGTGCGCACCTTCGGGCCGTACAGAGGTGCCACCCCTCTGCGATGCGGCCATGGCTAACGAATGTGCTATCCTATTGCTGCGGTGATGGCTAACGAATGTGCTACCCTGCTGAGGCAGCAACAGGGCCCGGCTCAGCGCATCATGCGGTTATGAGGTGACGGCCATCAATATGTTGTCCTAAGGCGCAGCTTCCATCCCTGTCCTCGGGCAGCAGCCGTCCCGGGCGCTGGAGCTGGGAAACACTAGCCACTTGCAGAAAAAGCCTGGCAAACTTTTGTAACAAAAGAGGAATGTGGCAGAATGGATTTATTCAGTAGGTGAACTCCTGCTGCTCCCATCACAAAACCCCCCAGAATTCATGCTAACCAAGGCTCTAGTGTCTGTTCCAGACAGGGCCTTCCCCAGAGGAAACCATGAGTGGGCGGTCAAGTTTGGAAATGAGACGAGCAGCCTGAATGATAGTTTCCCCTCCTTTCCCTCTCAAAAACGTTCAGCTTTTAGATTATTGCAACACACAGCGTGACAAATTCACGACTTCTTGGACCCTACAGCTGTTTACAGCATTACCCTGGCAATTCAGCGTGCTGTGGTGAGAGCAGGAAATGCAGTCACCTGGATAATGATGCCAATAAGAACAGTTAGCTGCTAATCTTGCCTTAAGCCTCTTGACTTGAAAAATGTCCTTTTGGAGGACATGGCCCTGAGCACAGCTGAGCTTTCAAGTCAAAATGAATATACCGCTTTGTAGTCATAAACCTTGGTCAGCCAGAATTTTCCCCAGCCCATCCTTCACAACACCTCATTATTGAAAGTAATTAATTTTAAAATACCAATATTTTCTGGGCAAGTCTTAGAGGGAAACTTTCCCTTCTCCATTCCTCCAGCTGCTGAAGGGAATGGAAATTGTCTCAGAAGTGGTCTGCATAATCTTACTGGGAAAGCTGGAGTCATTCTCTCATCATTCACCTCTCCCTCACCACCATTTTGTCAATCCTTTATTTCCATCATCAGTGATGTTCCCATGTTTGTGCATCAAATCAGGCACATAGCTCATGCCATCCACGCAGGGCCCATTCTACAGAGAGCAGCTTAGCAGCCTGAGAAATTCAGTCCTATAACATTTTCCACTAGATTCATTTCCAGAAGTTTGAAATAACCCAAACAAAGCAATGCCCCACAAGCAACATGAGCATCATGTGTCTGAGTTGGCAACAGGGCCCTACCGCTTGTATTTACCCTAAAGGACAGCACGCACTCATATTAAAAGCTCTACATGGTTTTGTGAGCTAACATTGCACAAGAATCTAATAGGATTTGAGAAGCAATTTTGCCAAGAGAAGAACGGTGAAGAAAACTACCTGCAAATGTGATCTGGTCATACAGATGATGTTTCACATGTCACTTTAGAGCTCACGGGTAGCTTCTTACATTCTTTCACACCCTCTTCCACTGAATCCTCAGGCTTACAACAGTGAGAACAGACTGAAAAAGAAGATCCCTCATTAGTATTTGGAATTCCAGAAGACATAAAAGTGCTGAATCCAAGTGTCTTCTTCTACAAAGTAAAGTATAGCTGAGAGGAGAGAAGAAATGAAGGAAGAAGAAACCTTTTAGGTCTAGTTACTTCTGTTTTTCCTTGGCAGGACTAACCCCTGCAGTACATCTGAATATGGCTGGCCCTTAGCCATAGTCTGATCTGATAGAAAGCTCTGTTATATATCAACGTTATCTATATAGTGTCGTATGGATAAAACAGTTCTCATTAGCACAGGGCTAGGGCCTCAGCCTGGCACAAAGCCAGCTTGCTGCATGCTAAGGCAAGGTCAGAAGGGAAATAATGGTAACAGTTACATGTCACTAAATGTGGTTTACCATGCGAGTGAAAGAACGCCAGTGTTAGAACCAGCCAAGCAATTCTTTCGGTGCTTTAAAAGGAGCTCAGATTAAACACATCCCCTTAGTATCTCAGCATCTATGAATGACTTTTTAATAATCCAAAACTAATCTCTCTGTAATATTACAGCAAATTGTACTTGCACAAACTTTACAACATGGATCTTAAGCTATTCTTTAAGTGACCTCTAATCCTGGTCTAGTCTTGGTGCTTTGTGTTAAATGAAGGCCAGAAAAAAAATGTAGAGTTTCCCTTCTTAAATTACTGCAAAGATAAGCAAGTTAGTTAGGCTGTGAGCTCCTCAAAGCAAGGGTTTGTAAACCTCAACAAAGCATCTGCACGTTTTGGTCGCCACCACAATCACGCATCTGAGAACTCTTCTTTCCGTTTTTGCGCTATCTTTCTATTCTTCCCTCCCACACTTCAGCTCTTCGAAGCATGGCTTTCTGAGCTCAGAAACCACTCTTAGCATCAAGGCAGCTCCGGACTCAGCTTTCCATGTGCCAGACCAACAGAGGTACTCTCAGACCTGTTCTGAGCTCCCACAACAGCTCTTGAAAGGTGACCTGTAGCAACACCAGCAGGAAGCACTCTTAGGACAGGTATTTCCCTTCCCAGACAGGTGGCAATGCACAGCAGCACTGAAATGTGACAGCTGTACAAACTGGGAAGTTGGATTGAAACTCTAGCTTCAGTTTTTTACAGTGTATGCCTGGTCTGGGAAGTGGCTGTACAAACCAGCACCACCTGACTCGGCAAATCTACTCCCTGTGCATATTAGGAGAATGGGACTGAAAGGGAAATTGCGTTTTATGCAGCCATGTCCCGTGCTGTTGCAGGTGATCACGTTCTACTACATTGGTATGCTTTTTATGTCTACTTTAAAAGCAATTTTGTTTCTATATAAAAGGCTATCTCAGAATGCTCCAGAATCTTACTAATTTAATGGTAAGGAACCTTTTAATTTCCAGCCTATATTTGTTTAGACCCAAGTCTTCCAATTCTAGTTCATTTTCTCCTATAATTAGAAGTTCATTATCCACACAGCTAACAGCACAGGCTGTGATAAGCTGTGATTTTCTTGGTTTCAACCTGCTTGCTGCTTTCCCATTGACATATTCCCCAGGAAACAGCAGGGGAGAACAAGCATGGGTGTCACAGGGGCATGAGTGGAAAATGAGGAGGTGCACAGGTGTAGCCAAGAGTCACTGCCTTCCAGAAGCTTCCTTTCTTTGTGGTAAAGCGGCAAGAAGAAAATTAGCCCAGCCTGACTCAGTGATCACATTGGCTTTTGAAAGGATGTGGTTGGTGAGGAGGGGAAAAGAAAAATAGCAATGCTACCTCCACAGCTCTGACTTCGGAGTGAACTTGTCTGAAGCTGAAACGGAGGTAGCAGAAGACATAAGCACGACAAACTTGCAGGTGTCCCTTAGTGAACTGAGTCCCTGCTGCCTGGCAAATAACCTCTTTCCAACGGAGGATACCACTGTGACCGTGATGAGCTAAGACGCTCATACTGGTGGCTTCTGCTTCAAGTGGGCTGAACGTAGAGCGCTCTCAGTGTGGGATTCTTGTCTCCAGACTTGACTTCCCCAGCGACCTGACAGAACTTGATTGGGCAATATTTATAATGTGTTGCAAGGCCCGCTGCCTTTCTCCAGGACTGCTTTTCAAAGCTGCTAACAGGGTGTGGATAGGACATCTACTGTGGATAGGACTTCCAATAATACTGGCTGGATGCCTAGCTGCCTTTATAAATCTATTAGATGTCTACCTCCATCTTCAGGGGCTTTCTGGCTAAGTCAGCTTAGACATGATTAGGAGCAACAGCTAACAGATGAGATTTTTTTTTTTGAGGTACAAAAAAACCCCCAAAACTGCCAGCTAACCCTGAGATGATTGAGGTCCCCTTGCCATTGAAAAACTACTGGAGACATGTCTGGAGTTACTGAACACTTCATGGGGTGGGACAGGGCACCTCACCTGTGCCAGTTTTGGCCATACAAAGGAGACACATCCATCTCTCCTGACTGGGGTTCTCCTAAAAGTGGGACGTTGCTATGCCTAAGTCCTGTCTGTGGCCTTACCGCTATATATTTTTGTAACTTTGGCTCGGTGACTTTTCTGAGGGTTTAAGTAGGGTATGTAGAGAGATCCCATTTTGAAACTGCCAGGGCTCAGCCGTATCTATCATGCTCACCAAGATTCTTGGCATCTTCAAGCACGTTAATGCATAAAAATGGACCTTTGGGAATCTCTTCAACTCTGTATACCCCTGATTTTGGAAATATCTGCTGTCAAAACTCCCTGTCACCCCTTCACTCTCAAACCTGAACCCTAGTGCTGCCCGCACGCAAAGTATAGGAAAGTCCTGAGCTGGACTTAGATTTTGTGACAGTAGGTGCTGCATGAAAAAAAAAAAGGAAATGAGAAGGTGGTACAAAAATACCTAATGTGTCAGTATAGTTTCTATAAATGTGTATTTTACATAGAAACTCCACAAGTAGTAAGAGACCACTTCTTGAAAAAGGAGCTACACTTACCATGCCTTGGGAGGTATCTTGCTGCTAGGGTGATAGCCAAAAGGAAGATGATAATGATGATACTTGAAGCAGTAATGACATTATAAGATGGAAGCACAGTAGGGACAACACAGCTGTTTGTTTTTTCTGAGACAGAAGAAATAAAACATAAATAAAGGGCCAAATAACATATTGGCATTTTCATGTAAGAGCAGGTATGTGAACTTTGGTAGTTCTGGCCAAATTCTCACTCAGATATTCAGCCTGAAAATTTACCTATTCAATAAACAAACAGACAAAACTGGCACCTAAATTTCTTCAATTCCCCCACATTTGCTATGTGCTGAAATTTTTAACACAGCCACAGAACCTGAAATGCTGGATCTTTGTCCAGAACAGGACTGAGACAGGCAATAAACACATAAACTGTTTTTAAAGAAACTGCTTAGGCTTGGTGGAAAAGTCTGAGTCTATATCTAGAAAATTTTTATCCTCAGAGGTACTCTGCAGTTTTTCTTACTGTTTTCACCAGATTTATGCCAAATTTTTTTCCCTCTGAATTCACATGTGATGTAAAATGATGCATTAAATAGACCAGAATAGACCGCGTGGCAGGAAAAGAGTGTTGCGACAGAGTTCAGTTACATTGGGTCTGGACCCTTTGGCTTTTCAGCACTGGAGACGCCCATTCTGCCGCTTGGACATTAGAGTAGATAAGAGGCCGTTCTTGTACAGTACAGGACAACTCTAATTCAACAGGAGGGACAGACTTGGTGCATGTTCATAGGTCTTCAGATTTTCATCATCTGCATCTGGCACAATTAAGCACCACTCAACTTCTGAGACACTAGCCTGATCTGCTCTATAATCTTCCCCTCCATTGTAGGGTTTGCCTCCTACGTTTAGCGGAGGCTGTACTCTGTCTGGAACTCCATGGTCATGAAAGACCTTTTTGGAGGACCATTTGCATCATACCAAAATAGGAGTGGTTCCACATCTTGAAAATCAAAAAGTGGGGCTTTTGTGACTGCTGCTGTCACTGTTGATTGCACGGTCCTCTGGGAATCTGTGTGACAACAGTGTATTACTATTTTTACTTTTTTTGTTGCTCTCCTTTTCTATATGTAGTGTGATATTCACAACCTTCTTCCATTACCATCTCTAGGGACACTATGCACTACATCCAGCAATAACCAATATTCATAAAGCACTAGTTTCTGGCATTCGTCCTGAAGCTGAATGGCATCTCTCCTCATGAGCCCCTTTGATTTTAGTAAGACTGATGAATAAGGCACCTTGATGAATAAGGTACAATTCTCTAGGAAAAACAGCGCTTCTCTAGCTTCCCTTGAAGGTGCCCTTATCTCTACAGTGAAAACATCAGACTCAGAGACATTTCAGAATACTTTTTTTGGTAACAATGTTAATAAAAAATCATTTTGGCATTCAGAATTTTCTTGCAGATCTCCTTCTACTGCAAAATATCTGGACTGTAGTGTGCTGCCTTCCCTCATGCTGTTTCCACTTGTGCCTCAAGCTTTTCAAAGCACGGACTTATCTATTATGTTATCACTTTTAAGCCATGCACAGTGACTGAATTTTTTTCCGTATGAGTTAACCCTATATTAAATATGTGTGTGAAAGCAGAATTTTGTCTAGACCCCAGCTGACAGTTTCTGTCACTGAAGCACAAACAAGCATGCTTGTTAAATGAGGAAATTCTTTTAAAGTGCAGCCTGTGCCTTTAAGGCACACACATTTGTCAAGTCCCTCCATTCGAATACCAGGTCTGTGCCACGCAACTGGCAGCGAGACTGTGCTGGTACAGAGGGGCACTGAGTGCTGGCAACCCCAACCTGTGGGAGCCACCGAGGCTGACATCACCGCATCACAACGGCATCCAGTTGCCTTCTCAGCCCCACTGTGACCCGCAGTAGAGCGGCAGGAAGCCAGAGCCATCTCTGCTTGTCAGCCACTGTCATAACTCTCCTCTCCCACCTCTGCTGTCTTATAGTCTTTGGAATATTTTGGTGTGCAGCTCACAGGCGGGATCATTGGGTCATCCTTGCATGAACAGATACATAAAATCTACCACTTTTTCAGAGAGGCAACTCAGCACGTTCAACAAAATGGTTTTGTAACACAAACTATTAATAAAACCTACTCAGAAGCAAACTGGTGGACTTGGTAAGGCCATCGTATTCAACAAAGCAAGAGATGCTGACGTCTTTGGTCACGTTGAGCCACAGTTTGCCAGTGACGTTGTACGGGCTGAGACTGGACTCGGACGCCCAGCTGGCGTTCCACGCCACGGACACGTTGTTGAGGGTTCCAGAGATTTTGGGTTTGGGGAAACCTCCATGAGAAGAACAGCTTACCACCATCTCAGTTGATTCACAAGAATTAGCGGATACTTCTGCTGTTATGTTTGGCTCACTGAAGTCAGCTGAAGCAAGAAAGATTTAGTTACCATTCTGTCAGATTACAGTGAGGGCTGCAGTCCTGATCACCCCCGGCCAAACAAAGACTCGCCCACAGGACATTCTTTCTCTGTCATAATCTGTTTGGCCTTTATTGTGCCTTAGCGTTCTCCCCACAGCCTTGACTGGATATGGCCTTGGCCCTTGCTTCTTCTCCTCTCTGGGCAGTACATGGACTTCATGACTACACCTCTCCAATGCCACCATTTCTTTGTACATACAGCAGTTTGTGGAACAACAGAAGGAATCATAAAACAGGGAGGAAAAATACAGGACTGAATAAAAAACCATATTACAGGCAATGGTAGACAATTTCCTTTTCCCTCCCCTCGTTAGTCCCTTCCTGGCCAGAAGCTCACAGAGGGTCCATCTCTGCTGGGAAAGCAGGCGAGTCCCATGTTGGTCCCTCAGCCAGGATGGCCAACAAGAGACTGAATTACATTTTCTGCATGAGACCCCCTCCAGAAGGCCCAGCTGAGAGCAAGACCCCATCATACTACTAATTGCAAAAATGCGTAGCAATGCACAGGTCATCTCAGGCCATGTTCTCACAGAACTTTTTTCTCATTGCCAAAGATGATTTTCAGAGGTTTCCCATCCACACAGCTTGTTGCATGACTTCCTGCCTGGTCGGATGTATTGCTGTAAGTGTGAGGCTGCATGGTGAAATGGAAGAGAGAACTAATACAAGTGAAGGAGGAGAAGAACGGTGGTGTCTTTTAGCCTGCTTCCCTTTTTCAGTCATGTAGTTCACTATGGTACTGTAAACAGTTGCACTGGTACAACTGAGGATGCCTATGAGTTGCCATAAACAGCCCAGGGTGAGGAGGAGGTGGCAAGGGGTGGCAAAGGCATTATTTAAGGCAACTCATCCACTGCAAAAATCTCCGTGGAACCACATCTTTAGCAAGAGAGGCACCAGTCAGAAAAAAAAACTCAGCATGTGGCTTCCTGGTGGGTGTAAGTCACACCAACACCACTGCTGCCCAAAGGGACCAAAGTCTCCGTCCCACCCCTGCCAGCTGTAGGTCCGTAGCCTGCCCACCCCTCAGGCGCTAGCCCCAGCTGTGGTGAGGCCAGGCAGAGAGCTGCAGTAGCTTGCTCCACTCACTGCAAAAGGACCCTTTTTGGAGCAGCTAAGTTTTTGTCTGCGATTGCTCCCTGCCTGACTCACCATTTGACCGCCTGACTGCTGGGACAAGGCAGACAGCCTTGCGGTCGTAAGGCGTCTTCCACAGCTTCTGCTGACCAGGAACCCACAGTCTAGGCTACCAAGTAATCAGTAACTAGGGCAAGAAACTTGCTCAACATTGCATGGCTGACCAGTGGCAGACAAGGGGGTGCATGGATTTCCTTCCAGGCCCACTACCTGTTGAGCAACACGGCATTGACATCCAGTCTAGAAAGTCCCTTCAAACCTCCTAGCCGGCTTCACCAAGGCTCCCTGATCAGGCACAAGGCAGTAACATCTTTCTGCTTCTCTCAGTGTAGCCGGATTCCAGCAGGGGCGAGGGGAGCTTTCCTTTTGCTGAGCCCCGCAATAACTGACCCCACTTTTGCAAAGGGAGCAGAAGTCTACCATAATTATTACAACTGGCCTGTTAAGACAGCAAGGGGATTTCTGGAAGGAAAGAAACTGCAGTATTTGCGGGGAGGAAAGGAGGTCCGTTGTTTCACGTTTTTCAGGCAGTTAACTCCTCAACCCTTATGGCTGGAGAGGGTGCTGGCAGTGCACTTCCCTTTTTTCATATTGGTTCCCCGAAAGATCACTAAATTTATCTCCTTTCGCATATGCCCACCATGCCCTCAGACTGACAGGCAGTGACCAAACCTCAGGAGCTTGTTTTTTTCTGATGAATCTCATTCCAGATGGAAAATGCTCATTTGCTGGCTTGTCTGGAAGATTTCTGGAACTCTCTGCTGCTAAAGGTATTCAAATGTATGTATATATTTATATATGTTACTGGTATCTCTGCTTTTGGCTGAAACCAACCGCCACAAAAACAGTGGTGGAAGTGGAAAATAAAGTCAACGGAACTTTTTGTAGCCTCCAAGAAAAGATTCAGATTCATTTTGAGCAAAGGAACTCGAGTTGTTTCTTTAAGATGAAATGCCTCAAATCTCCAGCTGAGTTCAGCCTGAGGTTGTGGAGCTGCAGCGCAGTGGGCAAGCTGGCCAGCCCCGGCGCAGAGCCTTGGCTCCCCAGGGGCTGGGTGCAGGGCTGAGATGCTGCCGTGGCCAGAGAAGCAGTGCCACCCCATTCCCCTTTCAAAGGCTTGGGTGCTTCCCGTGCATCAAGGGCCTAGTGTCTGCTTTGCCCAAAAGACAGCAGGAAGCAGAGGCGGCCCAGGGCATCCACCAGCAGTAGTACCCGGGGAGGTGTCTGGGGAGGGTCCTTGCCCAAGAGGGAGGCATCAAGGGGGGAGGATGGTGGGCTGGTGGTGGGAAAGGTGGTTTTTCTGTACCTGGGGTAGCTTTGGAAAGGTAAGGAGGGACGCTGGTAGAATGGAAATACAGGGGCCTTAGCACACCTTCCAGCACTCTTTCAGGTTTTCTGATAAAAGTCTATCAGCTATATTATGAATGAAGCTTGGAGGAGTGTCTCTTGCTCCCAGAGACTGGCACGGGAAAGCCTCAGGTGTCAGGACGCAATCCACCTACCTGTGACAAAGAGGGTGACAAGCTCATCGCACACAACAACTGAGTTCTGGGAATATCTGCGGTGCTGAACTACACACTGGTAGGGCCCATTGTCCAGGAGTTCCACAGGGGAGAGCCACAGCGTGAGGTTCCTGGTGTCCATCTCTGCCCGCTTCTCATACCGGTTGTGTTGGGGGATCTTCTTCCCCTCTGCGTAGGCAAGCACTACCTCCGTGGTGTTTTTCTGCCAGTAGACCCGGTAATTATATAGGCTTTCCGAGCTGGGAATTTCGTGACAACAGGGCAGGCCGACTTTTTCCCCCATTTTGCTTTTGACTACTTTCTTCTCCACTGCATAGCCTGTAGGTGGGGGCAGATGAAAATTAGTGAGACAACAGTGCAGCCTTGCGCCGGCACCTGCTGCACAGAGCTCACCTCTTTCAGCTCCTTCTGTGCACACTAATGTACCTCGTCACCCACCAAGCTGTTACAGCTTCAGCTCTGCACCGAGGGGAGGCCTGCCTTGGCATTGCCTTTTACGTGATGCTCCAGTCCTACTTAGGATCCCGAGCTAGTGGGCACACGATGATTTCTGCATGGATTACCGAAGGCAAAGGCAGGAGAGCTACCTATCCGAACAGAAATTTTGCTGGCCCCTTAAAGAAAACCACACCTCAGAGTAAAGCATTGCCGTTACTCATGTGAAGGGATAAAACCAAACATGCCCAAACTGCTATCTGCTCTGCTCTCCCTTTTCAAAACTTAGTGTCTGGAAAGTCTGTGTCACCCTTCGGTGGGTTCCCTGCATGCCAAACAGGGCCACAGTGGACTATTAGTTCGGGGGTTTGGGGTTTTTTTTTGTAAAATAAAAAACCCCAAACCTTTCAAGATCTCAGAAGCTAGAAGCAACCCTACAATGATGAACAAAAGTTATAGCCACACTGTTATCAGCCTCCTAGTGTTAGCAAATGAACAATTTTGTCTAGTCCAGCTAAAACAAATTTATATTTGCGAAGGTCCATGTGCCTCCCTTGGGATTATTTGCAAACCAGCACAGGCATTCCCCAACTCCTGCCCAGCGACCCTGTCGGTGCCGTACCTAGTATACAGGCATGTGCCTACAATAACAAGCTGAGGGCCTTGTAGGGGGGAAATTAGGCACAACCTTGACCAGGTTAGAAGTAAGCCCCCTGCTGCACACTACACCTATACATGCCGCCTCCGTGATCAGCCCTGCCTTCCCACCCTCCTTCCTCTTCCCAGTGGGCAGGCGCTTGCAGGGGGCTCGCACTCTGGCAGGGAGCTCCGGCTCTTGCTGGAACAGTGACCCGGTACTGACACGCACTCCTGTGCTGCACCAAGGCCCAGGCAGATAGTTGGGTTTTCGTCTGAGTTTGTGCAACCTTCAGGATGATGCTTGTCCCTGCGTACCCTTGCTTTGTCAGTCCAGAAGGTTGGGGTGCTTTACGTGTGCTCTGCTTGCCTGAGCCTCCCTACCTTAGCACCCGCCTCCAGTAGTGGAAGGGGGGTACCGATCTGTTGCACTCCATTGACTGGGAGCAGAGAAACAAGGAAATAGTTGGCCTCAGGACAGGGAAGATTCCAATTCCCTCTTCCTTCCCTGCAGAACAGATGTCAGTAAACACATCTGAGCAAGAAAGCGGGAAAGTCCTGACCAGGCAGTGTGTCACTGGTGGGGAGAGCGCAGCATCAGCCGTCAATGGCAGTGAGGCCCCGTGTGCAAAGCCTCAGCCAGAAACGTGAATTGAATGCTTGACAAAGCTGAGCCCAAGAACTGCCACCCACCTCCAGCAAAGCCTGCCTGATGCTGGCTGACATGGTATTGTCACTGCTAAGGCCCAACCCCAGCCACACCATACACAGTGGGCACAGAGTGAGTACTCAGAGTGTGACTGGGATGCTGTGACACTCAGATTCAGCTGAAGTGTCCAAAACAGCCAACAGCCTGTTGCCCACCA